TCTTTAGACATCCACCCCCGCTCCCACAGCCCCCCACCTTTCTGCCTCCCACTAACTTTGCAGTACCCCACAATGTATCCAGGATTTTATCATCTCAGGCTCAGCTACAGCAACAAAACATGCTGTGACTTCTGAACCCAAGTTGCTTCAGACGTTGTGACTTCAGGGCCTGTTCTAAGGGGCTAAAAACACACCTGCAGGACCCCAATGGGCATCATGAACCCCAGGCTACATTGAGGTCTGAGTCAGTATCCATGGGAACAGGTCTGATGGGTGACGCCTGACAGTAGGAAGTTCTAGTGTCAATATGGTAAATAAATGTTATGAACACTGCTACTACCCTATCCTAGGACCATAGCTACCATCACTAATTTATCAGGATCATCCTCAGCATGAAGATTCAGGCAACCATTCCCAATGGAACTGATATGCTCCTTGAAACCTATTGACCATCCTGGTGCAAGGAAGTTGGTAACACTGAGTAAAACAGGGACTAATATTATTGTTTCCTTGAACATGGCTCCAGACAGCCATTAAGTCTCTCAGGGACAAGCACGTCCCCTAGCGGAAGGAGCTGGCAAGGAGCCAGGCACATCTACACCAAATGGAGAGGCTAGAGTGAAAATCAGGAAACCTAAACAGAATGAGAACATCCAGTGGAAATTAGCCTATAGTTGCAGCATAATGAAAACAGTCATGCCCAGGGCAAAAGGATTAGGGCAGCAAAACTAATTCCAGATTCTACCTGCTAGTAAGTTTCAGCCTACCAATATTCTGAAAGCTAGGGGATTTTTTTTTTTTTTTTTTTTTTTTTTTTTTTTTTGCAGAGTCTCATTCTGTCGCCCAGGCTGGAGTGCAGGGGTATAATCTCGGCTCACTGCAACCTCCACCTCCTAAGTTCAAGTGATTCTTCTGCTTCAGCCTCCCAAGTAGCTGTGACTACAGACGTGCGCCACTACAACCAGCTAATTTTTGTATTTTTCAGTAGAGATGGGGTTTCACCATGTTGGCCAGGCTGGTCTTCAACTCCTGACCTCAAGTGATCCACTGGCTTCGGCCTCTCAAAGTGCTAGGTTTAAAGGCATGAGCCACCATGCCCAGCCTAGGTAGGGGATTTTGAATGCCCAAAGCTAAAATATGCAGGAACAACACAGGCACTAACAGTAGGCCTGCCTTCACATTTCTTCCTTTTTTCTTAAGTTCATTCGCCATCTGCGTGGCTCACATCAAATTCCACTTTTCCACCCTGGTATTTTCTTCCCCAGTTCAAACTTTATAGTTGTCTGAGATGACTTTAATAGATGTTTCATTGGCAACACAAATAAACCATGGGAAAAGCATAGAGTCTCCACTCTCCCCTGAAACTATCTTTCCTTCAAACTTAATGCTATGGGCCTTAAATACCATTTCACTCATAAAATGGAAACAAATGCAAGACCTCAGAATCATCTGATTCTTGCCCACTGTTTCAAAAAGAAGGCCAAAGGAGCCAACACAAGGGCTCATTGGGAAAGTCAGACAGGAAACGAGCTGGACCATCTGGGAGAAGCTTGCCCTAGGAGTAGCCATGTGTAAAGTCAGGAGGTGGGAAGAATGCAGCCTGATGGGCTGAAAGGCATTATAGGCCATTGACAATGACTCCTGCTCCCCGCAACCCACTCATGATGCCTAAGACAGAGGAGACCCGTTTTCCCAGGTGATGTGTAGGGATGAGTATGCAGGAAGGTTTGCATTGTCTGCAGCAGAAATGCTGTTCGGTCACCCTTAAATTACACCGGTAGAAACCATCTCTTGAGTCCTGAGTCACTGAGCTCTCTGAGCTCACCTTGTTAGAGGAGCAAACTCCACCTGGCCCAGAGATGAACTCTGACCTCAAATAGGCCACCGCAGGTTCCCTACCTGCAAAACAAGGTGGGCAGGGAAAGGAAGCTAATAGAGTTCAGGATTTCACAGCAGAAAATGTTTCCCAAAGCAAAGTCTTTCTCAAGTAGGTAAACTCTTCAATATTTTCTCTACCTCAATTCCCAGGTACGAGCTTTTCCCTGGGAATGTTTCTGTCTTGCGTTTCCAGTGCCGGTATCCTAACCTTTCTCTCACTATTCATTCCAAGGCCTTACGACAGGGCCTTCAGCTACCTCCAGCCAAACTCTTTTTCCACCCTCTCAGCCCATAGAGCTTATGACTTTCCTTTGGTTTTGGTTTTGTTTTGTTTTTGGAGACAGGGTCTCACTCTTGTCACTCAGGCTGGGGTGCAGTGGCATGATCACAGCTTGCTGCAGTCTTGACCTCCTAGGCTCAAGTGAGCCTCCCACTTTGGCCTCCTGAGTTACTAAAACTACAGGCACAAGCCACCAGCTAATTTCAAAAAATGTTTTATAGAGACAGGATCTCACTATGCTTCTTCAGCTGGTCTTCAACTGGCCTCAAGAGATCTCCCACCTTAGCCTCCCGAAGTGCTGGGATTACAGGTGTAAGCCACTGCGTGCAGCCAGAGCTTGGAGTTTTAAAATACTTCCTCCTCCTCCTTTTCACTAAAATGACGACGTTCTTGCTGGACTGCCTCTTCTCGTTTGTATTAGAAAGATAAGTATTTTCTTCACCATTAGCCCATGAGCTCATATGAATTATATTCTTAGGGGCTTTCACAATGGAATATTCACATCTAGATGGGGGGGTATCAGGAGAGGCTTCAAAGAATCCAGGGGATTTATTCTGGCGTGTGTGTGTGTGTGTGTGTTGCATTATAACCATTTCCAGGCTGAAGATTCCTGAGGGCAGGGCCCGTGTCTTACTTATATCTTAGTAGCCTTTATAGTAGTTTCCACAGTGCCTGGCACCAAGCAGCTAGATAAGTAGTGCTAGAAAGAGCATTAGAGATATGCCTTGCAAGATAGGTTGGATTTTAGCAGGCAGAAGAAAGAGCAAATAATAAGAGAAAGGAACCATAAGCTCCAGGAGGCATACTGTCAAATAGAAGAGTCTAGTTTGACTGAATTGAGAGTTCTGTCATTATTTTTCATCCCTCATATTTGGCTACATAAGCTAATGTGTTCCTTAAGCACAGTTACAGTGGAAAATCAGTGACACACATACTTGTGTGTGGAAAGGCATCAAATGCCAATCTAAGAAGTTTTCATCTAATCAACTATTAAAGGAACAGTTTAGAAAATTAGGAAGGCTTTTTGTTGAATACTGTCCCAGATAAAGGCTTGTTAGGGGCTTTGTAATTTCACTCTATCCCCCAAAATAACATCAATGTGTTTTAACAGTGGCCTTTGGCAAGCAGGGTTCTCACTCCTTTTTTATACCCAAACATGAAGCTAGCAATTGGCATTTTAGGCCCAGTGTGTGGTCGTGACAGAATAGCACCTGGGGAACGTATCTATGCAGGCTCTGCTCTTGAGGGTGATGCTGAGAGAGTGTTGTGGCTGCCAGATCTCAATGACATTTTGCTATAGAAAGCCCATGTACAAGACTGCTACCAGGGATATTTGTCCTAAGAAGAGAAGGTAAAAAAGATCCAAGCACCAAGAAAGGAAGTCAAATCCAACACCAGGGCCAGACTAGCCAACAGGATAGTTCTAAGGACAGACAAAGTCTGTAGATGTTGGCCAGGGTTGTGAGACCAGGGGAGAGGTAGAAAGGGTTACAGGTTAAAGGCCAAGGGCTCTGAAGCAGCAATGGCAGCAGAAGCCATGGTAACTAAAACTAAAAGTATGGCCTCCCTTCTCCCTTTCTCATGTTTCCACTTAGACAGCCACCTAGCACCTAGCACTTAACTACCTAGCACCTAGCACTTGACCACCTACCTAGCCATCAGGCAGATGCACAAGTTTTAGACGGCATTGGTACAATACAAAGTATGCTCCATATGGAGAAAATTATTGAGTTTCCCATTGCCACAAAGCTCTGGTTTCTACTACCTACTGAAAATTATCTGCCCTTTTTCACAGACTATTTATGATGCTCAGATAGGATGAAGGTATATGGAATAGTTATAATGAAGTTGTAATTATTTTGCAACTATATCTACATATTGATAATCCAAGAATCAACCAACAAATCTCAATTGTTTACCATGTTCCTAACACTACACAAAGACCTCTGAAGATATTCGAACTATGTTTAATGCAAAATAAGATTTAAATAGCTGGGAGAAATTTATTCAGGTTTAAACTTTAGTTGATTTAGAAGCACTTGGCCCTGGCGCCTTTCTGAGAATGAAGAGGTCACACACAAACATCTTTCCACTTAATCTACAAATATTAGTCAACAAATATTTATTGACTCTCACTATCAAATTCAGTGATTAATATTTTGTTCCCACACTGATAGGTGTCAGAGACAGGCAGACATAGAGAATTAAATTTTAAAAGCTGCCCTTTGAACACAATGACACATAGTTTTTCATTTTAATCCTGTTCTTGAACCGTGTAAATTAATACCCAAATTACCAAAGAAGCTATTTTTAAACCTTATATGTTGATATCCAAGAAGATGTTAAAAAGAACAAATAAATAAATAAACCTTATATGGAAACAAAATAGTACATATCTGAGAGGTCACCATACACTCAAGAAAGCAGCTACAATACAAATAAATGGTCTACATTTTTTCCTATGACTCATATCCACCCAAATGTAAATTGGTTTCATTGATGTGTCTAATTGTTCTGAATGTTTTTCACTAAGTGATATGTTAGAGAAAACAATAGAAACCTCATATAAATTTACTTGGAGGTGGTGTGAGGTCCTTTTTGATCATTTGAAAGTCATAGTTTTTAATCTTATGGTGATGAATTAGGAAACCCACAAAATAAAACGGATTAATTATGTCCTGTAATTTCACTAAGGATAAGAAAACTTTGAGATTAAGTACATACAGAACTGCAACTGTTTTGCAAAACTATTTTTTACTCTCATAAAGAAGTGTAAAAAGCAGGGAAAAGGACTACCTTACCACCACTAAAGAAGACACAATAAAATGCAATGGTGTCCTACCTTAAAGTAGCTTCAATAGGGAGCTCAAAAGACTGAATCTCAGCCAGGACATTCTCATAGGTTTGATCTGTTTCTTCTTCCAACATCGCTCCACAGGCCCCTGATTTTCCAGCTGCAGACATTAGATATTGAGTGAAAAACTGTTATAATTTATAAAAATAAATGTTGTTTTCCTTACGATTATTAGGATTCCCTGCTCGCCCAAAGAAGCTACACAAACAAGCTCACTGTCTGACTTCACGCTATCAAAGTCTTTGCTTCCAAGAATGTTGCACAGCTGTTGCTGTCCTATCTCCACTTATAACATTTTACTTATTATTAACCTTGACACAGTTCGGAAAGTTCCTGCCTATTGCTGGCTATCTTTATTCACTTGTTTCTCAAGGACAATAACTATAGGTAGGAATTAGAGTCATTACACTATACAAATTTATTAAATGCATTTGATTTGAACAGGGCATATATTTTAATATTATTTATACTAAATACATAACCGAAGCTACATTCTTAGTTATTACTGCAACTAAGCCGTTTCCCACAAACCCAAGGTGGTAATTTGCCCAGGAAAAATGAAATGTGCTATGGGACGTGATTTTGAGGTCATGAGGCTGATTCCTTGGTGCCCTATCTATCTCCTTTGCTTCTTTACTCTGCTGAGTCAATTTCCTCCATTATAGATAGAGCCATTAGTTCTTTTATCTCTTGTTCAAATACAAATGCTTCTGGAGGCATTTAGATCTTAATCCTTTTCAGTTCCTTATGCCTCATTGTGAATGAGTTTGCCAGATCCTTTCTGCAGAACAGATTTTGATGGAGAGGAAGAAAGAGAATGAAAATGTCAGGGTTTTAAGAAGGCTAGCTGCCACTGACAGGAAGAAAGAGTGCATGAACTAGAGGCCCAAAATAGCAAAGGAAAATGTGGCCTACAACTAGCCCCAAGTATGCCTAAAGAACTAAAGGGCACGTATTTCTCATTTCCACTTGCACTCAAACTGAATTTCTTCAATTCAGTTTAACCTCATGCTTTCTTGCTTAATACAAGAGTCAATATTTAAAGGCATGGGTAGTGACCTTCTTCCATATAAAGCTTATTTTTGTTTTTTTGTTTTTATCAGATTTTTTAAAAGCTCTGACAAAAATTAAAGTTTTTTCTCTTAAAAATATAGTATTCAAAGTGTGCGGTAACTACAATCTATGGCATTTGTCATAGATTGCATCAGTGTGTCACCCCTGCCTGCATCCATACCCTTGTCAGTACCTCACTGTGGACACAGTATTTGTCCCTCTCCCATGACTTTGGGCTCAGCCATGTGACTTCTGCTGGCCAGTGATACATAGGCTAAAATAACAGCGTGTGAGTTCTGAGCCTAGGCTTTCTAAGGGCTCTAAGGCATGCTTCTGTTTGTCCTTTTCCACCTCTGCCATCACTTAAGAAAAACATTCCCTGAGAGCTACATGAAATAGAGTCATCCCTACTGGTCCACAAACCTTCAGAGGAAAGCATATATTTTCATCTAGCTGCAGCAGCCTGAAACAGATCTGCCCATCCAAACCCATGCGAGATCAGCCAAGCCCCAACTCAACCACAGACACAAGAGCAATACTAAATGATTGTTTTCAGCCACAGACTGATGGGTTATATAGCAATGGTAAACCAATGCAGCATTCTTCACTTCAACCCCACCAATAGCCCCCAACTTGCCTCAGCCCTAGTTTTGCTCCATGGCAGGATGGAACAAATGCACCATGAATATGCCTCACGCCATTTCCCAATAAGGTAAGTAAGTCCTTTGAGACTTGACAAAAAATAATAATTTTCAATCTGTGTTAAAGTTCTTGGCTGGGCACGGCAGCTGACACCCGTAATCCCAGCACTTTGGGAAGCCAAGGCGGGTGGATCACTTGAGGCCAGGACTTCGAGACCAGCCTAACATGGCGAAACCCCATCTTTACTAAAAATGCAAAAATTAGCCTCATTGCCTGTAGTCCCAGCTACTTGGAAGGCTGAGGCACAAGAATCACTTGAGTCTGGGAGGTAGAGGTTACAGTGAGCCAAGATCACACCACTGCACCCAGCCAAGGAGACAGTGTAAAACTTTGTCTCGAAAAAAAGAAAAAACATTCTTTATGTGCAACGTTTTAAATTTATGCCAAATTATAAGACTATGTGCATGCAGAATGTCTGTCTGATTCATATTTGCATTGTATTCCCTTATAAGGTGTATACTTAAGAGTATTCACCTTATAGGCTGGGTGTGGTGGCTCACACCTGTAATCCCAGCAGTTTGGGAGGCCAAGGGGGGTGGATCACCTGAGATCAGGAGTTTGAGATCAGCCTAGCCAACATGATGAAACCCCGTTTCTACTAAAAATACAAAAATTAGCCAGGCATGGTGGCACATGCCTGTAATCCCAGCTACTCAGAAGCTGAGGCAGGAGAATCACTTGAACCCAGGAGGCAGAGGTTGCAGTGAGCCAAGATGCTGAGATTGCGTCATTGCACTCCAGCCAGGGCAACAAGAGCAAAACTTCATCTCAAAAAAAAAAAAAAAAAAAAAATTAGCTGCGCATGGTGGAGCATGCCTGTAATCCCAGCTACTCAGGAGTCTGAGGCAGAAGAATTGCCTGAACCCAGGAGGCGGAGGTTGCGGTGAGCCAAGACAGCGCCATTGCACTCCAGCCTGGGTAACAAGAGCAAAAACTCTGTCTCAAAAAAAAAAAAAAAAATAGATTATACACCTGTATACAGTTATAGTAGATACTCAAGAAAATGCTTATCCAATGAATGAATGATAGTGAAAGCAACAAGCTGAATTACCTCTTGGTAATTATGCAAATTATGCAAAAATCTGACAGTTCCAGATTGTATTTGTCAGAACCTGAAAACACATAAATACATGATGAGAAATCACTCTTAAGAGAGCCATCAGCATCACTATATTACGTTGAAGAGAAAAAATTCATAAGTAATACCACATACCCATGAACAAATACATCTGTGATGACTGATCCAGTTCTAAACATCACACGGCTCTAAAAATTCATTCTTCTCTCCACACAGCACAATCTGAAAAATTTCAAACTTATGGAATTACAAGAAGAATATAATGTGAAGAAAAATATACCCTTCCTCCGATTCACCAATTGTTAATATTTTGCCACATTTGCTCTCTCTCTTTATTCAAGGGGATTTTAGAATGTAGGCATATGCTCTTACTATTGGAGAGAGAATGTGTTAATTTAAATAGAATATAGTATAGAGTAACGCTCTAAAGTAGTTTAATTAACAAACCATGGTAGATTTGACTTACCGTCACTGCATGACCCCGTGCCTCCTACACAGCACATTTATCCTCTTCCGGTACAGCCAGCTCAGCCTGGAGATTCCAGGTCTTCTCTCCTCATGGCCCAGTTGCCTCCCTCTGCTCCTCAGCTCTCCCCAACTTCCCTGTACTCCCACCCCACTCTCTTCTGCTCCTCCCAGTCCTGCTAATGCAGTTTCTCTGTGCCTCTTACTTTCTTCTACACCGTATAAGGCACAAGCAACAACTTCCTGTTTCCACTGGCTAAACCTGCATCTTCCTTTTATTCAAAACTTTCCTTGAGTGCCATTTCCTGCCGGAAGTTCGCACAGATGAAATGAACAGGAGAGGCTCTCCTCCCAAAAGTAACAGAGAAAACAACTTCCCCCATCTCATAGTGCTAAAAACAAATTCATCAAATGAGAAAAAGAAAAGGAGGAAGTGGAAAGTTTTTAAACAGCCATATTCCAAGATGCCCATAAAAAAGAATGGCATATGTGACTGGAAAGTTCCCAGTCTCTGGACCCTTAACCTCTCCTCTCCCAGTTGCAGCTCAAACTCTTTGACTACTTCCTAAGATTAAGTCTGACCACTGACAAGCGAAGTTTAAGTGACCCTAAGCTAATGGTTCTCACCTGGGTGGTCTTGTGGGTCTCCAGCTCCAGGGAAATGTCTGGAGACATATTTAATTGTCACCATGGGAGGTGGGTGCTACTGACATCTAGTGAGAATGGGCCAGGGATGCTGCTAAACAACCTGCAATGCACAACAGAAACCCCCACCTTACCCCCAACACACACACACACAGACAGACAGACAGACACACACACACACACACACACACAAACACACACGAATTATCCAGCCTGAAATGCCAGTAGTGCCCAGGCCGAGAAATCCTGCCCTAAGCTGATCTTTGAGACACACCATCAGGCCATGTGTGGAGTTGATATAGTCCTATTCCTTGGGGCCCTTTTCTGGGCCTTTTTCTTTTTTCTCTATAACTAAGTCTCTATCTTATTAGTCTTCTAGGAACCCCTGCCCTTCTAGAACTGGAAACCAACCTTTCTTCTAAGTGAGTTTATTCTTCAAATGAAACGACATCAGTCGTTCACCTTCCTCCCTCCATCACCAAGGCTAGACTCCCGGTCTCCTTGGTCTGTACTGGAACCACCAGTGGGAAGCACTGTGTTTGTTAAGGAAAGGGGTCCCAAGAGACGATTCTTGGATCTCGCACAAGAAAGAATTTGAGGTGAATCCGTAAAGTGAAAGAAAGTTTATGGCCGGGCGCGGTGGCTCAAGCCTGTAATCCCAGCACTTTGGGAGGCCAAGACGGGTGGATCACCTGAGGTCAGGAGTTCGAGACCAGCCTGGCCCACATGGTGAAACGCTATCTCTACTAAAAATACAAAAAATTAGTCGGGTGTGGTGACGGGCACCTGTAATCCCAGCTACTCAGGAGGCTGAGGCAGGAGAATAGCTTGAACCCAGGAAGCGGAGGTTACAGTGAGCTGTGATGGTGCCATTGCACTCCAGCCTGGGGAACAAGAGCAAAACTCCATCTCAAAAAAAAGAAAAGAAAGGAATAAAGAATAGGCAGAGCAGTGGCATGGGTGCTCAGCTGCTTAAACTTATTGTTACTTCTTGATTATATGCTAAACAAGGGGTGGATTATCATGAGTTTTCTGGGAAAGGGGTGGGCAATTCCCAGAACTTAGGCTTCCTCCCTTTTTTAGCCCACATAGGGTAACTTCCTGACATTGCCATGGCATTTGTAAATTGTCATGGCGCTGGTGGGAGTGTCTCTTAGCATGCTAATGCATTATAATGAGCAGTGAGGATGACCAGAAGTCACTCTCATCGCCATCCTGGTTTTGGTGGGATTTGGCTGGCTTCTTTACCATAGTCTGTTTTATCAGCAAGGTCTTTGTGACCTGTATCTTGTGCCAACTTCCTCTCTCATTCTATGACTTAGAATGCTTAACCTCCTGGGAATGCAGCCCAGTAGGTAGGTCTCAGCCTCATTTTACTCAGTCGCTATTCAAGATGGAGTCACTCTGGTTCAAATGCTTCTGACATGTTCATATGTTTCATTGGCACAGACGCCCCCTCTACAATTCGCAGTCTCAAGAAAACATATCTGGGGAACTGGGGACAAGCAGGGGTGCCCCAGAAGGTGGTGAAGTGGCATTATTGTCTGAGTAAATACCCAAAGTTCGTTGCTTCATAGCAAGGAAATCAAGGACACGGACACATGTGGAGTGAAGTTAAGAGTGGAGGTTTACTAGGCAAAAGAAAGAGAAAGGAGAACTGCTCCCTCTCCTGCAAGAGAAAGAGGGGCATCTAAATGGGCCTTCTAGCTTGCAAGGAGTGCACTGGATTTTATAGACAGGCTTGAGGAGGCAGTGTCTGATTTGCATAGAGCCCATAGATTGGCTGGACCAATTGTGACGTTTGCATAGTGCATAAAGAGGCTGGCCACCCCACTCTAATCTTATTATGCAAAGGAACTTTCCCCTTGGCCAGTGCCATGTTGTCTGCTCCCTACCGCACATGTGTTTGGAAAGGTAAAGGGAAGATGGAGCCATCATTTTGAACATGCCTAGTCCCAGCTGGCCTTTTCCTATTGGCACAGCTGCCAGCATTCACCCAGGCAAGCTTCTAGCCTGCCCTTCTATGTCTGCAGCTCGATTTTACAGGCCCCTTTTTGTTACAAAAGAAAATGAGTTTGGGGCTGCCTTTCACTAAAAGGAAAACTTTACGAAGGACTTCTTTACCCTCACTATCTGCCCAAATAATTTCTTCTCAACTCCTATATCAGTAGAAGAAGAATACCAGATGAAAGTGGCTCACCCCTGGCAAATATCACCTGGTGTTTAATCCTGCTCAGTCTAGGTGGAGTTAAAGAGTTTTCCTTCCCATCCCTAACCCACTCCTTCCTGTGCATTTTGACAGGTCCACAAAACGTGCGCGCGCGCACACACACACACACACACACACACACACACTAAGCAACCTAAAAATAGAAGTCTATTTGAAAAAAAAACAAAACAGGCTGGCACAGTGGCTCACACCTGTAATTCTAGCACTCTAGGAGGCTGAGGCCAGTGGATCAGCTGAGGTCAGGAGTTTGAGACCAGCCTGGCCAATATAATGAAACCCCATCTCTACTAAATGTACAAAAATTAACTGATTAGCTGGGCATGGTGGTGCACGCCTTTAGTCTTAGCTATTCGGGAGGCTAAGACAGGAGAATTGCTTGAGCCCGGCAGGCAGAGGTTGCAGTGAGCCATGATCGTGCCACTGCACTCCAGCCTGGGTGACAGAGTGAGACTCTTAAAAAAAAAAAAAAAAAAAAAAACCACACTAATATCTTGTTGGTTACTAAATGCCAAATGTTGGCCACCTCATCTCAGGAAAACAACAATCACTAACTCTTCAAAATTGTCCTGGAAATCTAGCCAGTGTAATAAGTCAAGATGATAGGGAAATAAAAGATGTAAACATCAGTAAGAAAGAAGAAAAATTGACTTTTGCAGAATCCATGATTGTATACGTAGAAAATCTGCAGAGATCAACAAACAGAATTAATGAGTGGATCTAACAAGCACTCTAGACCAAGAAATGCTCATCTATATATTAGTAATAATTAGGAAATGAAATACAAAATTGATACCATATACAAAAGCAGCAAAATACATCAAATATCTAGGAATGTGATACGCTACCTGGCTAGGATTTGGGGAGCTAATGGGCCATAGCTGAAAATGCTAACAGAGTCACAAAACATTAAGGAATGATAAGGTCCAAAATTTCAAAAAGGAAGAATGAGAGTTACCAAATCCAGTGGGGCCAAAAGTCAGCATTGAATGGGGGGCCTGTAAGATGAACAAAAGTCCACAAAAATCAGGAGCAACAAAGGCATGGGAACCCCTAAGCCTAGAATAACCTTTAGCTCTTGCAACTTGCTCTTCTGGACTCATTTGGTCTGTGGGGGAATCTTCTGGCTTTAAGGGTCAGAGGTGATGCCACAAATAGCAGCAGCTTTTTATTTGCCACCAGATATCCCTTGCCTGTCACCTAAAACATACTGCCTTACCATACAAATCTGATAGTGTAATTTGAAAGACAGAAATCCTGCCCAGGCTGTACACAGGTATTTCCCACTTCCTCTCCATAATACTCCCATGGCGATTTTTTTTTTTTTCTTTTTTGGCAAGAGGGTCTCACCCTGTCACCCAGGCTGGAGTGCAGTGATGCCATCTCTGCTTACTGCAACCCCCACCTCCTGGGCTCAAGCTATCCTCCCACCGTAGCCTTCTGAGTAGCTGAGACCACAGGAATGTGCCGCCACATCTGGCTAATTTTTGTATTTTCTGTAGAGGTGAGGTTCCGCCGTATTGGCCAGACTGGTCTTGAACTCCTGAGCTCAAGCCATCTGCCCACCTCACCCTCCCAAACTGAGGGATTACAGGTGCCAGCCACCACACACAGCCAAGTTTAATTTTTAAAAAAATACTGTGTGGGCAATGGAATGTATCTATAGGCACATTAGTCCTATAGGCATGGTTTGCTTGGGGTGCATTCACAGGAGACTGTTATTCATTCATTTAAATAATATTCTTTCAAATAATATTTTTATGAATCAGACACATATCCTGCTTTTAAAATGATCTACAAGCCCTCCACAGTCTGCCTCTCCCTCTGCCCCAGACTGCCCTGACCTCATCTCTTGCTCCTTACCTGTGTCTCGTTCCACTTCGGTTGCACTGACCTCTGTGTTTCTCATTCTTTGCCAGGCATGCTCCACCTCAGGGCTTAGGCTCCTGCTCTCCCCTCTTTCTGAAATGCTTTTGCCCCTGATATGTATGGCTCACTCCTTCAGAAATCATCTTCTCAATGATAGCTTTGCTGGAAATGAAATCCAGCATTTTAATCTTGATCCGGGACTCTCTATCCCACCTCACTCTCTCTGCTTTGTTTCTGTCCCATAGCACTTTCTATCTTTGGACACTGTACGCTTCAGTTGTTGATTATCTGTCTCCTCCATAAGAGTGCAGATTGACGAGCACAAGGAATTTTTTCTGTTTTGTTCACTGGTATATCTCCAGTACCCAGAACTGTGCCTGGCAAATAGGGGTCACAAAACATATTTGTTGGATGGATGGATGGATTTTTTAAAATGAAGAAACATACAGATAAAAAAAGAAAAAAAATCGTTTTAATGCATGAAGGCAAGAGGTGAGTGCTAGAAGAGA